TATTTTATACTACATAATGTTTTAATATTATATAATTTTAACATCATCATTTAATTACAACGTTTGTGTATAGACTGTGAAAATAAATATATATTTAATCAACACAAACATGACGCATTTAAGCTACAAATTAATTAGTTATATTCTTCTGTCTCAGCTTTTACAAAAATTGGAAATGACAATATGTGCCTATTGCAACAGCATGCAAAGTATTATGAGTGGGAATTTTTCAAGCATGTGAACAAGAAATACTTTATACGCACAAGGTTTAAAGTAACACAGCTTGCACTTCTTAGTCTGTTACTGATGCAGCTTGGTCTAGCAGTTTTGAAGTAAACACTAGAGACTCTGTTCAAAGCTTCAACTAAAAGACTTTACTTTTATAACCATAGTAACCAGTGGCATAAACAGTACAAAGAAAATTTTATCTGTGTATCAAGACCAGAAGGATTATAAGACTGGAAGGGTGCACTATAATAATTTTTTGGATTTTCTTACTTAGGTGTGGCTTGGTCTGGTACCATGGTAGCAGGGTGATTAAAATGATGTGTACAATATTCTGGCTTGACAATCCTCATAAGATAATAAGCAGACAGGAACATGATATTAAAATGATTTTTAGGAAATAAGGCACATGTCAACTAGCTCAGCACAGACAGACTTCTGTCATGAAGGTGATAAAACTCCTGAGTCCATCATGGTTAGTTTTGGTATCAGCACCATTGAACCTCTGGGTTCTACTGCCAGAGACTTTGTTCTTACACAAAATTCCTTATTCTACTGAAACACTCACCTTCATCAATCCCTTCCTCTGCAATGGCAGGTGCTTCAGGAGCCATTTCATCCCTCAGGGCCTGCAAACAAACCCTACATTACCATGCATGTTCTTGTAAAAGTGCTGGACACATAGCACAAAAGAAACTGGAATGCTCTAGAACTCATGAATCATTATTTCAAATAGCAATTTTTAATATTTTAATTTTCATAAAAATATATCTAATTGTGACATACAGAGTTCTCTTACAAAAAATCTTTCAGGAAGAGAATTAACAGCAAGATGACCATGCTGAGTTGCAGTACCACAAATCACTCTCTGCTGAGTGGGAGTCACTCAGGTTGCAGCTCAAGTTTATATGAATGTGCATGTGGTAGGCAATTCTTGTCACACACTGTTTTTAGGTTAAGTGCATCATTTCTGCTCCAGTTTAACAATAAACAAAAATGACCCCAGTTAAACAAAAACAATCAGTGTTATCAAGAGGACAAGTGAACTTAGAACCAATCAGAAGTCTTCATGCTTTTCACTGGATAGGGACAGTTCCAAGGCAGAAAGTGGTTCTGGCATGCAGATTTAATTCTATGTTCAAGACATGTAAAGTATCAAAGACCATGAAGTTATCAACAGACACAGCACAAAGCAGAGCCTGCAGATTCTCATTTATAAATTCTCACCCATCATTCTACTGCTGTAACTCATGACATCAACTTTGTCACCACAAAGGCTTCTACAAATATTATCAATCATTTCAAACAATGTCAACATACAAATAAAAAAACTTAATTCAGTGGAGTACACACATTTCTCAAGTATTCTTTGCAATTCTGCATAATACACTGGCTTTATCTTCAACTGAAAGCTAATGATGAGTACTGACATAAATTTGTTTTCCATGTATTTTGTTCCATATCCAAAAATGTAGCACATTAAAGCTGTATTTCTTGAAGAGTTTTATATGATAATTTATGGTGGGTATAGGTTTCTGAATGATGAACTATTTTTGAGAAAATACATAAAGCTGAATTTAAACTTCATGTCAACTTTAAATTCAGAAACGTGTACAAAATTTTGGTTGAAAAGTTGAAAGGGAAGAGACCACTTAAAAAACTGGAAGTAAATGGCAGAATAACATTATAACAGGTTCTAGGGAAACAAGATGGGATATGAAGTGGATTAACTTGAATCAGAACAGGAGTTTATGGAGGGCTTTTGTGAATACAGTAATGAACCTTCAGGTTCCACAAAAAGAGGAGGAACTATCAGTTTCCCAAGCATAACTCTGCATCATGGAGCAAGTGAGTAAGTTAATTAGTTAGTAGAGGTTAAATTGGAACAGGACATATTTCACCCATCATCATTTGGTACAAATTCCCAACATAAAAACACTTTTTTTTTTCTGAGCATAAATGCATGACTAATGTGCTATGTAAACGGTGAAATATGTGAGTGATCCTCATGTGAAGACAATTTGCAGACATGCTGTTATTTGCAAGACAGTGCTAGTTCTCTTTTCTTACACTTTCAAGCTCTTGCAGCTTCTGTTTCTCATCCAGTGTAGTATCCAACACTGGTTCCTTATGACCCAACTGCTCATCTTCTGCAGCTAGTGCAGCATCCAGGCTGATAAGAGAGAGAGTCATCTTTCCGCTGAGTATCACTGGAGCGTCTGTGTCAGATTCCAGATCCTCTGGGTCTACCATGACAGCCTGGGTTTCAGACTCTGACACTAGAAGCTGGGACTGTGATGGAAGAGCTCCTTCTAGATAGATGGACTGTGGCTCTGGAGTGAGGGGCCGTACAGGTGTGTCACTACGACTGTGTGAGGTGACAGCCAGTATAGGTGTGCCGGGTCTGCTCCAGCGATGTCCCCCCTCACAGCTGGCTGTCATCTCCATCCCCAACACGTGCACCTTAGGCTTACCATTATCACTAATATGATCATGTTTAGATGAGTCATCTACCTTTTGAGTAGTATCTGAAGATATGGTGCTCTTTTGTGATGCTTCCTTTGGTTCCACTTCTTTTTTCAATGCCTCCATTTGGCCAGCACTTACTGTTTTCCTACTCTTCTCATTCAATATATCTTCACCCTATAAATGAAATAAGTTCAGAACTCTCTTTTCAAACCATGTAACTTTCATGACAAGGGAATTATGTCAATTATTATTACTCATGACTCATAATTTTATACAGCATACAAATCTGAGACTAACATGAAAGCTATTGCTAGTACTGACAGCTTATCTAGAACCACCTCAGTACACATGATGAGATGGTCCTACTCCAGCATCTCTGTAGTTCCATTAACCCTTTACAGCCCAGTGGGAAATACACATACTACCTGCATTAATAATCAGTAACAGTGCATTTTGTATTCATAGGTCTTGTATGATTTTCAGTGTAAAGAGGGATTATTTCCTTATCAGCATTAACCAGTTGATCTTTGTAATGGAGAAGTGTTCTGTTTTCTTTGTAGTACAGACTAAATTCTTGAATATTAATCAGAAGAGCTTTGGTTTCAAAGAGTAAATAAGAATGTCTTACACAAAAATTAATGTCCCTCTTTGAAAACCAAGACAATAATTTTAACTATGCACGTTTTTACACGTTTTATCCTGTCAGTTAGTGGATTACAGGTTCAAACTGAACCTAAAATTCTGGGTTAATAAAGTTTCTCCTGATAAAATTTAATCAGCAAAGAAAGATTGTGATGAATGTAATAACATCTGTATTCACAGCACAGATTACACGAATG